ATATCTTTATTTATACGTCTATGGTTTACTCTTATGATCTCGAAATAAAACCATAGAGTTCAAAATGGAAGCTTCTATCCGAGCGTCTATGTTGATTGTTTTTTTTTTATTTTGAATCTGCTGTGCACCATAAATAAGCTCCAAGAGCTCCGACAATAATCAACAAATTTACTTTAAAGTTCTAAAAAGATGGCTTCATTTTTTTAATGAGTGTTGACTAGTTTCTTTATTACGATATTGCGCCGCACATTCATCAAACATTGTGCAACAGTTTGTGATAAGACACAAGCTTAAATAACTCCTCTAGCTTTCTTACAGTAACCACAAAGATCCAGGCGACTTCTTTGTTTGTCTAAAACACTAACTATTGCTTAAACATTAAGAAGGCATAGAGACGTTTCAAACGAATATGACGATATACCCCAGTCAAGGAAGAAGCAAAGCTGAAATATTTTTTATAGATATACAGTGTGTAAAAGCCAAATGGAATAAATTCATTATTTAGGTTACTGTACATATTTATAAAAAATCCCGAAACATGTCAAATTTAAATTATAACTTGACATTCTTTAACGTGAAAATGCAACCCCTACCTTCAACCCCCTTAGAATGACAGGTACAATCCCCATTTTTTAAAATAGAAATATAGGCTTGTGATATATCGTTTAAAAGGTCTTTTCATTCTCCATTCAAAAATGTTGTCGCTTTCAAGTTTATTACGATTAATTAAAATAAAATAAATTAAAATCATGTGGTTACCGAAATTCGCTAAAATATACTCAAAACTTATTTCCCGTTTAGGTCTTGATAATGAGAAAGTGAACAAAAACAATTTCAATGTGGTTTTTAGTAACCATTAAAAAACTTTAAAGAATTTCCATGGCAACGTTATTTTAACACTTATTAGTAAATTGTTTTATTAAGGTTGTCAGTATTTTAATTTAAGTTAAAAGTTCGTTCACTTCAATTCTGAAAAATGGTTAGATTAACGGAAATGCATAAAATTGCAGTTTTACAAATGATTTGTTACGTAGATAACACCCGAACACAACAGGAAGTAACTCGCCTATTTCATGAGAAATTTCCTAATTTACCGCCTATATCCCAGGGAACAATAAGTAAAATAGAGAAGCAGTTTCGCGAGTTTGGTCATGTACAGCAGATAAAAGAAGCAGCTGCCAATGCACTGAGTGATGAACTCAAATTAGATGTGATACTTGAGTTTCAGGAAAATCCACATAGGTACATCGAATAGACAGGCATCCACTACATTCAATGCTAGCCATACATCGATAGTAAACATATTAAAAGAAAATAAATTGCATCCCTATAAGATGATACCTACTCAGCAGCTCATTGAAGACGATTTTAATAGGAGAACTTTTTTTTTGTGAGCAAATGATGGACATGTTGGATAACAATGTTATCCAATTAGAAGACGTTATGTTTTCTGATGAGTGTACTTTTTCACTTAACGGTCATGTTAATCGGCAAAATTGCCGCTACTGGGCCACGGAAAATCCTCACTGGATGAGAGAACAACACACTCAATACCCTCAAAAGGTTAATGTTTGGGCAGGGATTATAGGAAACAATATCATTGGTCCCTTTTTCATTGAGGGCAACTTGAATGGCAACAATTGTTTGGCACTACTTCAAAATGATGTCATTCCAACGTTGGCAAATTTATATCCTGATCCAGGAAACCCTCAAGTTCCAGCGAATACGATATGGTTTCAGCAGGATGGATCACCACAACATTACCAACTTAATGTCCGGCAGTATCTCGATACAATATTTCCCAATCGGTATATAGGGAGGCAAGGATCGGTTGAATGGCCAGCGCGATCACCTGATCTTACATTATTAGATTTCTTTTTATGGGGATATGTGAAGAGCATTGTGTACAAAACTAAAAACTAAACCTTGTGATTTAAATGACTTAAAAGAACGAATAACGCTTGCGATTAGGTCGATCACGCCTGTTATGTTAAATAATGTTAGAAGACAGTTTTATTTGAGATTACGATGTTGCTAAGACGTTCGCGGTGAACATTTTGAACATCAACTTCATTAACATTCATAGTTCTTTTTCGTGTTCTACATTTTATTACGTTTTGCATTACATTTTAGTTTTTGATTGTATTACAGCGAATTTCGGTAACCACATGATTTTAATTTATTTTATCTTAATTAATCTTAATAAACTTGAAAGCGACAACATTTTTGAATGGAGAATGAAAAGACTTTCAAACGATATATCACAAGCCTATACTTTCTATTTTAAAAATTGGGGGTTGTACCTGTCATTCTGAGGGGTTGAAGGTAGGGGTTGCATTTTCACGTTAAAGAATGTCAAGTTATAATTTAAATTTGACGTGTTTCGGGATTTTTTATAAATATGTACAGTAACCTAAATAATGAATTTATTCCATTTGGCATTTACACACTGTATATGAGGGGAAGCTAATAAAAAATTCGTGAAGGCGTACAGCTGATTTTACTTTATAAAAAAATTAAATAATTTTTAAACTATTTGACAGATCTTTGATTATAAAAAAATTTATAATAATTTTAATTTAATTAATAAAAATTAATATAAAATTTATGAATTATTGTGAAAAACAGCTTTTTTGCAAATATCTCCGTAAAATATGTATCAATTTTAATTTCAAAAACGGGAAAATAAAGATGTTCTTGATATAAAAAAATGATATAAATATTGTTAATGTAAAATATAAGGAAAAACTTATAGACAAAAAATCAAATTGTGACCATAAATTATTGTTTAAAAAAGTGCAAGGTAAAATTACGACAACTTTTTCATCTATTCGTCATCTAGTAACCCCCACCTATGTCTTAAAAGCTTCAGATATCTGCTAAAAATTTAGCCGTGAAATCGATGATTTTTGCATAACCAGACTGGGCTACTATACTTATAAGATTTTTACGTGAAATCAATAATTTTTTCACAGATAGACTGGTGATTCCAAAGATTTAACATGTCGGGTGACATGTTAAATAAATCATTGCGAAATTATAATGAACCCAATTCTGTATATATATATATATATATATATATATATATATATATATATATATATATACAGTGCTTTTCAGATAAAACTATCCACCTTAAATAACTTTTAAACCTCTAATTTTTTGGAAAAACGCAGAAACACTTCAATTAATATCTGAAGGAGGAGGCATAATATCATATTTAAGGTTGCTGGAAAATGCACCCTCTTACCCCCTGTATCAACCCTTAATTTTTTTTAAATTACTTCCCCTTTTTTTATTTTATATTTGGAATCTCCTTTTTGTACTGATTTCAGAAATGTATAATACATGATACTTGAAGTGATTAGTTTATGAGAAAAGTAAATGCAAAAGCAAGAATTACCCACATTTAGAACAAACATTTCACTACTAAAAATTTTTACAATAATTGTTCAAAATTACTGCCTTTCACTTCCATACAATAGTACAATCTATTTTGAAGTCTAGGGGTGTTCAATCCGGTGACCTAGGTGGCCAAGCGATCATCTGTCGTCTTTTACCTATCCAAGGACCGGGAAGCGTTTCGTTTAAAAATTATCGCACAGGTAAAGCAAAGTGTGGAGAACCTCCATCATGTTGAAATACAATCAAATCATCGGAACGGTTATCATCATTTTCTACTATTGTTCTAACGATCAACCACTTGCCTATATAATTCAAGATACGATGCACCATTTAAGTTTCCAGTGATAAAGAAGGGTCCGATAATGTGATTACATAGGATACCACACCATACGTTTAACCTTTGAAAATGCTGTGTGTGAAATTCGCGTACAATATGTGGATCACTCTCAGTCCAGTATCGGAAATTATATCTGTTCACCAAACCGTTTAATGAGAATGAGCATTCATCCGAGAAGCAAATATTGTTTAAAAATTGTGGATTGTTAATGATGCATTGTATCATTAATTCGCAACATTCGGGACGACGATCAAAATCTTCTTCATTTAACTCTTGTACAAATTTAATTTTATATGGATAAAACTTAAATTTATGGAGGACTCGGAAGGCTGTAGAAGATGAAACACCGATTGCTCTGCTTATTGTTGACAGTGACTGTGATTGTTAAGAGTCTAAGTTAACTTGTCCTAAAACAGCTACTTGGATTGCTTTTTTATTTACAAGTTCCTGTCGGTTATGTTTTTTATTGCAAACTGACCCTCTTGCTCTAATTTTTTCTGCATCAGTTCAATCACACACTTATGAGTTGCATGTCTATTGTGGTGTGTTTCATTAAAATTCTAGCAGCAGCTCCTGCACAATTATTATTTTTGTAGTATAAACCTACAATTTCGATTCTTTCTTGCAAAGTGTACACCATTTCAGCGAGCAAATTGCACACGTATCAAAATAAGCTGTTACTTACAAGTTATAACAAATTGTCGCTATTAACCGATTAAAACAAATGTAAAAATGATACCGAAAACCTTTGATAAAACTTGAATAAAAAGTGAATTTTTTTTGTTTCTTGGTTTTTGAAGGTACTACAAATACAACCTATTTTGTTAGAGTCAATTAAGGTGAGGGAGATACTGTCTTGTTAACAGAAAAATTGTCTATCTGATAAACTAATCACTTCAAGCCAAAGGTATTATACATTTTTGAAATCAGTACAAAAAGGAGAATCCAAATATAAAATAAAAAAAGGGGGAAGTAATTAAAAAAAATAAAGGGTTGATACAGGGGGTGAGAGGGTGCATTTTCCAGCAACCTTTAATATGATATTATGTCTCCCCCTTCAGATATTAATTGACGTGTTTTTGCGTTTTTCCAAAAAATTAGAGGTTCAAAAGTTATTTAAGGTGGATAGTTTTATCTGAAAAGCACTGTATATTTATTTCAGATGATGTTATAAGAAAATCGAGAAGAACGGTAGAATGTACTACAAACAATAATTTGTATCACTATTTATAAAATAAAACTTTTTTTTTGGTTTTAGAGTCTTTTGGTGTGGAAATAGTTTCGAAATGGAGATTTGAATCCTGGAATGAACCAGATTTAAAAGGCTATAATTGTTTAAATATGTCTGTTTTAGGTAAGTTGTATTTCAAATTTAATAGAATGTATTGCCGATTTAAATGCTATCAAATGTGTACTATTAATTTATCAAGTTTACCAAAATAATATCTGGTTGTTTAATATGAGAGAGGAAAAGATCTACTTTTTAAAATATTTTACAATTCTTACGAGTGTCGTATTTTGCATTCGGTTACATGAAATTTTTCTCCCATAAAATCTTTTCCGCAAGACTTTTCCTTTTTTAAAGTCTGATATCGGATTTTTTCCGGCTATTTAAATAATCATCCCTTTCAGAATATCTCGACTACGTTTCGGCGACCAACGAAGGGTTAAAATCTGCTTTTTCTGCTTCGAATTCAACTTACAAGTTTGGCGGTCCGGCGGGACTGTTTAGAGATAAAAACCACCCCCTCTGCTGGGGCATTCTTGAATTTTGCTCTTCTGCTTCGATTGGTGTATGTCCTTTGAAGTTCGTTTCTTTTCATCGGAAAGGCGGAGGAAGCGCCAAAGGAGTTGTTGATGGGAGTTTGGTGCTGATCGACAAGATATTTGAGAAGTTTCCGATGCTTAAAAAGATGCCAGTTTCAAATGAGTAAGTGTTTTTTTAAATATTTTATTCTATTGTCGAAGCGCTAATTTTTAAAACAAAAATATCATCGAGATTAAAAGTTTCACAAGACTGTAAGATTAATATAATTTTACCATATTATACGTATTTCATAAGAACTTTGGAAGAGATAGCTTGATATTTTGTTAGAGTCATGATTAAAGACCATAGGTCATAAGCTAGGTCAGTTATAGTATTTTATTACTATTCCAATCATATTTTTTTCTGCATTACTATCAGCAAAATCATTGTTCAGCATTTAGACTACATATTTCATATGTTTTACAAGAAAAAAAAAACTAGGAAAAATCTATTTAATCTTTTCTTGTTATTTGCATTATACATCATGTGAATTAAATAAACATAATTTTGATAGTGACGTGTGGTGGGGTTAAATATCTACCAGTTACTCATTGACATGAAGATGTTTCTAAATGATTTACCATAACTATTGTGGAACTAAAGGGGTAGTAAAAGGGGAGGAAGACAAGATCACCCTGTAGGCACACACAAATAAGAAACATATCCCCGGTTGCTCAGTTCAGAAGAGATATGAGGGTTCTTTAGAAAAGATATTGATCAGAAAACAACATGTAACTAATATAGTCTCAAAACAACAGATTTTTTTACAAAATAAGGTAATTTATCTTTTAAGAACCATTCTGGAGAATGTCTTCATACAACAAAAAAATAGTTGATAATAAAAAAGTACATTTATTCATATTTTGTGTTTTTATTTTAACTTTATTAATCATTGAGTAGCAGTTTTTCTGACTTCTTGAAAAATGTAAAAAATGGACAAAGTGCAATATGAAAGTCTGTTCCTCATTTTGTTATTCAAGAGTTTAAAGAATTTCAATTTTTTTTTAATTTATCGTAATTTAATTTATTTATCGTAATCTTTTTGAAGTATAGGTAAGCAAAGAAGCAAAAAACGATGTTTTTATTATTTTTTAAATATATAATTTTTTTATTAATATTCACGACCTATTTGAGAGTAGAAGGATAAATTTATTAATATTACTGAAGTTATCACACAACTTTTTCTCCATAAATCCGAATGCCACGTCTCACATCCACCTTAAAATCCATCTTAATCCATAACGATCTTGGAAAGCTTAAAGGAAAATCGTTTAAATTATTTTACCAGTGCAATCGAAATCGCCCTGAACGTCGAAACGGTGGAGTCGAGATCAATATGTCATACCAATTTGGCGGTATTCCAAATGTAGATCTGCAAATTCGAGTTTACCAGAAAACATGAAACTGTCGAAAGCAATTACCGATGTAGCTATTTCTACAAATGAAACCTATTTGTATTCCTATACTGGCTATAATTGGGACGATATTCAATCGGTATTGATTGGCTCAATGACACCTACCGATATTCGAGTCGAATAACTATTGAAAATTTGCATACCGAGGTTATGGCTTTGGGAAAACTCTGCAGGATATTTATGAAATATCGATATCGTTTAGTGCGAATTTAATTTGAACCCTTCAACGAAAGAAAAATTTCATAAATGAATTTCGTATACAGTATGGATCAAATAATCATATAAGATGAGTTCAATACGGCTATCTACCTATTTGTTTTCTTTTTTTTTATTCACATTAAACTGTCGAACATGTTTTGATGTTATATGATTTTGTTGTGAGGTCTTTTACTTAATAATTTTTTAGATATAGCAATACCCACCGATATAAAAATGTTAACTTTGACATTATAATTACAGCGACATTTGCTTGCCAGAACTGTTACTAAAACTAAGAAAAACCAACCCCCACAAATAGCAAGTCAGCAAAACTTGCTATTTTTGTTTCTTTTCATATCCGTCTATTATATTTTAAATGTAGGAAGCCGGTTTCAGAAGTTTCAAGCAGCAGTTGATCTTTTTTAACAGAGCTAGAAAAGGTTGAAAAAGTGATAAGAACATTCTCTACGTTAGCCAAGTATAAAAATAATTTGTCCTTCGTAGGTATAAAATGTCCTACCGATGGAATTTGCAGTTTAAGTCGATTACCATAAACAAATTATACTCTGCAAGTTTTTATAAGTTCCCGTATGAATTAATATGACATTTTTATTAATATTTATTAACAATATTACCCTTATGGTTTTTTATTTATTTTCAACAATAAAATAAATCACTAAACCTTGACTATGCATTCACTTATGTTAGCATAATTTCATAATTACGTTAAATCCAGAGGTAGCTATGGACAAATGACATTAAAACAATAATATTGTCAGTTAATGTAAAATGTATTTTGCAGCATTGTAAACCTTTTTGCTGTTGGTGGATTGTACCATGGAAATTAAATCTGGAAAATCCAATTCGGAAGTCGCGAATATGTTGCAATTGTCACGCTAGAGTGTGAAAAATATAGTCAGAAGATACAAAACTACAGGTTCGGTCCGAAGCAGATTGAAGGGCATTAAGACGCATTATAGAGAAAATTGGCGAGCAAATTATATGGATTTAAGTGTTTTATGGAGTGACACGTTACAAGATCAACATGTCACCAAGAGGCCCACAAATTAGGATTAGGTACTTTACAAACCATTAACGTTACAACAAAAGAAAAACAGACCAAGATGGCCAAAAGAGCATAAAAATTGGACTCAATCGCAATGGGATTCAATACAATGGAAATATGATGGGTCCAGATTTGAAATGTGTGTTGGAGACAGTAGCAGTTGCAAATAAAGCTTTCCGTCCCGACTGTCTGAAGAGAAAAGTCAAATTTCCTGCATCTGTCATGATCTAGGGCAGCGTGTTGTCTAAAGGTGCGGGTAAGTTTCATTTTATCGATCGGATTGTAAACACGGACAAATATTTGAATATTTTAGAACAATCTCTTTTACCGATTATGGAACGCCGTTTAACATCAGTGGAAGATTTTGTCTTTCAACAGGACGGCGCATGTCATTCATTAAAAAAGAGTTTAAAATGGATTTAAGACATGGCATACCACTTCTGGAATGGGTTTTTAACAGTCCCGACTTGTTCCGGATAGAGACTTTTTGACGCGAAATGAAAACAGCTTTAGGAAAACATCCTGCCTGGTCCGTCAACAAATTGATGGAAAAATTGCAAGAAATATAGGATTTGCAAGCGATCTGCTGGATTCGATTGGCTCGAAGAATTGTGGATGTCATTAAAAATAAACGTGATGTAACTCAGTGGCAAACTTTCACATTCTTTTTGTTAATATTACATACTCTATGCGTATTACATATTCAGTCATTAAACTCAATGAAAACCAAGAAATCTGCTGGTCCAGATGAATTACCAAGCGAGCAATTAAAGTTGGTCAACGAGAAAAGCCTGGACACAATAGCAGAACTGTTCAACGCTATTTATACTACGGTAATGATCCCTAGAGAAACGTTGACATCAGCATTTGTGTGTTTGTAAAAAAAAAGGGAATGCTAAAGAGTACAGTGACTATCGAACCATAAGCTTAATGTCACATACCTTGAAAATTCTGTTAAAAATTATTCACGTCAGAATTCACTCTAAAGTGGAGCTGGATATTAGTGACACACAATATGGGTTCCGCCAATGTATGGGTACCAGAAAGGCATTATTCTCCTTCAACGTTCTGACACAGAGATGTTTGGATGTTAACCGTCCTCTTTACATCTGTTTTATAGACTACAATAAAGCGTTTAATAAAGTAAAACATGGAAATTCTAAAAAATAAAAACGATCATAGGTAAGCTAGCAATTATTGAAAACGAGCTAGCAAGATACAATATAGAAATCTCTGGACTAGCTGAAACTCATTGGTTAGGAGAGGGCCATTTTAGAACAGACAATGGCAATTATATTTACTTCTCTGGCGGTGAGACCCAGAACTATACAGGTGTTGCCATTCTGGTCTTACCAAGATTACAAAAGTCAGTTGTCGAATTTAAAGCTGTGAACGATAGGATAGTACTCATTAAACTGGATGGCAAACCACATAAACTTAATATCATACAAGTTTACGCGCCAGCCAGCACATCAGATGACATAAAGATCGAGGAGTTCTACGAAAACTGGAGACCACAATCGCTAACATACCAAATAAAGAACTTACTATAATATGTGGTGACTTTAATGCAAAAGTTGACAACACTACACAAAATGACGACTTAAAGAATGTACTGGGAAAGTGTGGCCTAGGGCAGAGAAACGAAAGTGGAGACCGTTTAATCGAATTTGCTATCACAAAAAACTACTCTATCATGAATAATCGATTTAAACACCATGTACGTCGACTTTATACTTGGAAAAGTCCTGGAGATAGATTTAGAAATCAAATATATTACGTCCTCACCAATATTCGCTGGAGATCGTCCATTCAAACAGTCAGATCATATCCAGGGGCGATATGCGGATCCGATCATACTCTCCTCGTAGCCAAAGTAATGCTTAAACTTAAAGCACCCAACAAACAAAGAGAGATAAAGAGGATAGAACTAAGAAAGAAAGACGACCTTCTACAGGAAGTACAGAAAAGTATGCCCTCTATTCATAACGGAACATCACAAGAAATATGGGAAACTGTTAAACATTGCGTAACAACACCAGTGGATCGCTCAAAGAAAAATAATCCAGTGAAACGGAAACACTGGATAATAGATGAAACTCTTAAAATAATTGAGAATAGAAGAAATCTTTGTAAAAGTGGTGTGCATAGTGAAAGGAAAAAAGCTAGTGTAAGAATCCTCAATAAAGAAATAAAACGAAGGCGACAAAAAACAGTACTATCAAAGTATATGCAAAGAAATTGAGAGACATGGTCAGAATAATCAGCCGAGAGATCTATTTAGAAAAATACGCTACCTAACAAGAGACTTCAGAGCCAGAATTTGGGCCATTGAAGATAACACTGGAACCCTGAGAACAAACAGAGAAGACATAGCCGATACATGGAGATCGTATTGCTGGGACCTACATAAAGATGATCAACGCCAAGAGCTTGTTAGCCAAATATCTGACGAGTTGGAAGAAGAACCTGATATACTGGAAAATGAAGTAAGACAGGCTATCAACAAGCTCAAATATAACAAAGCACCAGGTCCAGATATGATAACAGCAGAAATGCTTAAAGCCACAGAAGAAACCAGCGTAAAGTTACTTCATTTACTCTGTAACCAAATATGGCATTCCAAACAATGGCCTGAAAACTGGACAAAATCTACAATAACGACCATACATAAAAAAGGCAGCTTCCATAAATGCGACAATTATAGAACTATCTCTCTTATATCCCATGCCAGCAAGATAATGCTACATATAATCAATGAGAGACTGAAAACATTCCTACAAAGAGAAATTCCACAAGAGCAAACTGGATTTATCAAAGGTAGAGGCACTCGAGAACACCTGCTGAATATAAGACAGATAATCGAGAAATCTAGGGAATTCAACATCCCACTATACATCTGTTTTATAGATTACCGTAAAGCGTTCGACAGGGTCAAGTGGAGACACTTATGGCGAATACTAAAAGAAGTAGGCGTACCACAACATCTAATTACGCTTATAACTGAACTATATGAACACACTACTGGATCAGTTAAAGTACTTGACACACTTTCGAACGAGTTTCATCCAGAACGGGGTATCAGACAAGGATGTATACTATCTCCACAATTATTCAACATATATGGGGAGTATATTATGCGAAGAGCACTTGAAGGATGGGAAAAGGGCATCTCAATAAATGGTCATAAACTAAACAACTTACGTTTCGCAGAGGACACAGCCCTTCTTGCAAATAGTCAAGAAGAGCTGATGGAACTTATACGACTGATCGAAAACGAAAGTCAAATATTTGGTCTGCAATTAAACATATCAAAGACAAAGATCATGATAGTGGATAGACTACACAACAATCATCCACACATAACCACAATTGACCGGTTCGAGGTTGTGAGCTCATACTTATATCTGGGATCATTAATCACAAACTCAGGGTCATTACAAGAAGAGACTAAACGTAGATGTGATCTAGCAAAAGTTGCCACAGCAAAAATGACCAAAATATGGAAGGACTGTCTAATTTCAAGAGCGATAAAGATTAGGTTGATCAACTGCTTAATATTCCCAATACTGACCTACGGATGAGAATCCTGGACTCTGAGACAATCGGAGAGAAAAAAGATAGACGCCACTGAAATGTTCTGTTGGAGACGAATGTTACGAATTCCTTGGACCGACCGTAGAACAAACAATTCAATTTTAAGAGAGCTAAAAGTTATCCAACGACTCTCTAGTAAAGTCCATCTCCAACAATTAAAATATTTTGGGCATGTTATGAGAGCAAACACAGAAAACATGGAAAGACTCATAATACAAGGTAGAAGGCCGAAGATCACGAGGAAGATCCCCAACAAGATGGATAGATCAAATTACAGGAATATGCCAAAGACCTATGCATGAATTAAAAGAAATGACCAGAGACAGAGATCTCTGGAGACGGACAATACACGACATCACGTCGACCACTACACTCCCCCGGGGATCAGGATTGAAGAGAGAGATTACAATCAGCGAGCAAAATAGTAGAAATTATATAAAGGGACATCTGAAGAAATGGAAATAAAGAGAGGAGTCAGGCAAAGCTGCATACTATCACCTCTAATATTTAACGCTTATTCTGAAGAAGTAATTCGAGAAATTCTGGAAGATGAAACAGTCGGCATAAGAGTAAATTGAGTCTTAGTTAACAACATCAGATATGCAGATGATACAGTAATAATATCCGATAGTTTACAAGACCTGGAAAGACTCATAAGTAAAATATTAATGTGTAGTAGGGAGTACGGACTCTCGCTCAATATCATAAAGACGAAGTTCATGAAAATTTGTAAAAACAACCATAATACTAAAGAAATCTTGATAGTAGAGGGCCAGCAGATCGAAAGAGTAAAAAAGTACACTTACCTAGGAACACTTATAACAGAAAATAATGACTACACTGCAGAAATCAAAGTCAGAATCGAAAAAGCACGTTCTAATTTTATGAAAATGAAAAAGTCCTATGTGGCAAAGAGTTAACATTAGCTCTTAAAGTACGCCTAACAAAATGTTACGTATACAGTGTACTATACTATGGAGTGAAATCATGGACGTTAAATTTAGACACAATAAGACGACTTAACGCCTTTAGAATGTGGATCTATATAAGAATTATGAGGGTTTCCTGGATAGATAGAGTTACGAACAATGAAGTACTCAGAAAAATAGGTAAAGAGAAGGAAGTTGAACTTACAATAATTAAAGAAAGAAAGCTACAGTATCTCGGACATGTGATGCGGGGCGAGAAGTATCCTGCGACTCTAATGCAAGGAAAGATATATGACAGCAGAAGCATCGGAACAAGACGAATTTCATGGCTTAAGAACCTGAGAGAATGGTTTGGATGCAGCTCAAAACAACTATTTAGAGCTACTGCCTCAAAAATTAAAATGGCTATGATGATTGCCAACCTCCGTAGCGGAGATGGCACCTGAAGAAGAATAAGAAGATTCTATGCATTTTTAAAAAATATTATTATTCGGTGTAATCAATAGCTTTCATTACGTTATAAAATATTTTCTATAATTTGGAAATTCAAATGTTCGATGCATTAAAACTTCTAAAACTTACTCTGCGTTTTTATTTTTGTTCTCTAAAATTTAATTTTCTTATCCATCTAACGTTGTGCCAAGTGATATGAGGAGGGGCTCGTACAGTTCCTTTCATAAATGTTTGTTTTGCCTACCTGTACCATAACTTAACTAGCAACTACTTTATATTCAAAAAACACTATTTTACTATAAAATTATCAAATTCCAATTTAGCTCGAACATTTTTTCAGCGAGGCAGACATCGAGACAAATTGGTCTCGGTCCCTGGAATGGCGGGGAGACGTGCGGTATGCCAGTATGGTGGCAAAAGTAATAGCAGATTATTATAAATCAGTGAAAGTGGAGAGAAAATTGAAGATCGAGCTCCTGGGCAACGATAATGGGTTTCTAAATTATCACCCGTTTTATTTTACACAGAGGACGCTATTTGCAAGGTATGCATAGTTTCAAACAGGTCAGGACTGAACAAATTTGTTTTAGATTAATTAAGCCGATTTGTTTTATGCACATAGCAGATATAAATGACATGGTGCGAATTACTTTAAAAGATCATTATAATTACGAAATTTACTATATTTTATGAAATATGGTAATGCATATGAGCTGTTTTATCTTAGGTAAAAATTATTATGAGATTCTAATAAGTACCTATTTAAATTCTGGATCCTGCCTGTCTGTATCTCCCCATTTCTCTTGAGTTTTGTGTATGAGTCTGTGTGTGTCGTTTATTTTTGTTCATTCTTATTCTTTGAGTATATCGATACATTCTTGGCAAAGTAACGTAAGTCACCAAAAACTATTTGTAGAAAAAACAATTTTTTAATTCAACCTGGTTAAACTTATTTAAATTATGACTGAAAAAACTTGTCATATTTGTCCTAAAAAAGGTTTAAATTAATTCTAGGCTTACTACACTTTGGCAGTACCTTTTTAACAATAATAGTGTTAGTTTAATTGAAAAACATGATTTTCGCCAAAAATGTCACTTACGTTACTTTGCCAAAAATGTATCGATATCCTGACGTCTACTATGAAATAAATATTTAAATCATGAGATGTAGGTACATCAAAGGACTAAGATACCAGTCTATAAGACTAAAATCCGATCGCTAGTATTCGTTAGACCCACAATATGTAAACCGCATGAACATATTTGAAAAAAATGTGCTGAGACGAATAGATACTAGACCCTATACATGAGAAAATTAGGTGGTGAATCAGATACAATTATAATATATATATATATATATATATATATATATATATATATATATATATATATATATATATATACATACAGTACGTTAAGTTTTAAATTTGATTAAATAGCAACACTGCGCGCCGTCTTCTTTCCACGAACCTCCGTTGCCCCGTCGCTAATAATTTGTCATTATACAGTGGTTGTTTAAAGCAGTGGTTCCTAATTGGTGGTCAGCGGCCCCAGGGGGTGCGCGAGGTATGGCTGAGGTGTTCGCAAGATATAAAAATAAATATATGAAGAGCCAGTGGAAAAACGATATAACCATTTTGCAAATTTTTTTAGGAGAGCGAAAACAGTTTTTCTCTCTAAATCTTTAAAATTAATTACATATATCGCGCAAACTTAAAGTTATATCAAATTTTAGATTGTTAACTATAATTTTGTTTATATACCTAAAAAAATATTTTCGTTTAAGACAGATTCGGCCTCCCCTCTTTACCACCACTGGCACTGGAACTAGCTGGGACCCTACTTTGGCTTTATGCCTCTTCACCACCACTGACACTGGAACTAGATGAGACCCTACTTTGGCTTTATGCCGTTAAAATGCGTCGCTGTCATTTAGCGACAACGTTAGCAAGTTAGTTAGTACATTGCTAGTGCGGTCCCTGACCGTGTTAAAACGTGTGATTTTGTGCAACATTTTAAAGCTTTGTTTTTCACGGAAAGTTACATTACGCGTATGTTATGGACCGTTGGTTAAAATGTGGATTATTAAAATGGGATAGACCTACAGACGAAGAAGGAGAAAATGTATTCAGTGTTAAAGTTAAAAAGTCAATGACTCTCGAACCGAACTTGTCAGTTTCTCTGGAACCCAACTCGTCGGCATCTCTTAAGCCTAATTCGACCAAGATCAAGCTGCAAAAATTAGAAAATACAACTCTGATTACTTGAAAATGGGTTTCACGCTCACTGGCCCTGAGCAGCAGCCTAAACCTCAATGTGTAATTTGCTATGAAAACCTTTCGAATGAGTGTATGAAGCCAGCAAAACTCCGTTGGTATCTTGAGACAAAACATCCAGAGTTCAAGAGTGAGTCATTCGATTTTTTTAAAAACAAACTAGGAGAGCTTAAAAGATCTCGTAAAAACATTACTAAACACTATGGTGCAAATAATGTAAATGAAAATGCAACCATTGCATCTTATGAGGTATCTCAGCTTGTCGCTTAATATGGAAAAAACCATACAACTGCTGAAGAACTTATATTACCATCAGCAATAATTCTATGCAAGAGAATGTTGGGTGAAGCGGTTGTTAAGATAATAAGTACTGTTCCGCTCTCTAACAATACTGTCCAAAGACGAATTTTAGATATGGCCAATAGCATTGAAGAAATATTGCTGATCAGACTTAGCATAAGGAACATGTTTGCTCTTCAATTGGATGAAAGCACCAGCAATATGGACCAGATATTTTAAGATTTTCTTTTTTCATGCGAACTAGTTCACACAACAGCAGCAGATATTTTTACTACATTGAATAATTTTTTCAATAAACATGACGTCACATGGATAAAATATTTGGGCTTGTCTACGGATGGAGCAAAATAAATGGCTGGCCACAAAGCAGGACTTAAAGCTCGTGTCAAAGCAGTAGCTCCTGAGGTGAAATGGACACACTGTTGTATTCATCGTGAAGGCTTGGTAGTCAAAACATTGCCTGAACCTTTGCAGAAGATACTTAACGAAGTAGTTTAAATCGTTAACTACATTAAAACTCGATTTCTGCAATCCAGATTCTTTTATTTGTTATGCAATGATATTGGCAGTGAGCATAAACACCTTCTTATTCATACGGAAGTAAGGTGGCTTTCTCGAGGGAGGATATTGACAAGTTCGTGTTTTTCTTCTTGACACCAAGTACGCAGATGTTCTCACTGACTTTTCTTGGCTTTGCTCAACTGCTTTCTTAGCTGACGTGTTTGAACACTTGAATGTATTAAACTTAAGTTTGCAAGGGAAAAATGTAGACATGTTTAAAGTTGAAGATAAGATCAGTGCTATGGTAAAAAAGTGCCAGCTGTGGGCGGCAAGGATTGAAAACGAGTCGTTCACTAACTTTCCTAATTTCATGCAGTTCTTGGAGTCTGTAGAGCAAAGTTTACCTGACCCGATAAAGATCAATGCAGCCTAGCCACGACTTTTAGGATATACTTATCTGAATCTGACCCTGACGATGGTTGGATTCGAAATGCTTTCAGCTGTCAAGCAATTAAACAAATTCAAAGCCTCACAGAAGAAGAACAAGATAAGCTTGTCGAGTTGTGGTACGATCATCGAGCAAAAAGACAAAAGAGGGAATATAAAGGTAGTGGGGGCAAACATATTGTTAGACAGGAAGTGCAATCTTTAGAGGCCACATTAAACAAGGAAAGAGAGTCTCTCTCCTTGTTTGACATCAAATTTAGTTGGGTTATGTTATTGTTTGTCCCAAATGTCACATGAACTTTTATTTATATTGAAGTTTTTTAACAATTTACAATTTTGTCGCATTTTAGACTATTGTCGTTAATAATTAATTAAAACTTTCTCGTCTAAGACACATTCTGAAAAATATTATATAGCTACTGTTGATAAGTGTCGGAAAATTTAAATTTGGCTCGTTCGCATTTCCGGATATGTCCGCCATCAGAGGCCACTTTTTGTGGTATTGAACATAAAGAAACTTCAACATTACGATGAAGGATGAAGGCTTCTTGGCAACAGCACGCAAGGATTGCAAAGAACTTGGAGACAATGAAAAAAATCCTTCCGTTTGCAACAACCTATCGGTGTGAGCAAGCATTTTCTTCCATGTGCTTCATGAAAAACAAATATAGGAATCGGCTTGACATGCGGTCGGATTTCAGAGTGAAAGTTTCAAGTTTGAAACCTAATATTACAGAAATAATGGATTCTAAGGTTAAATTAAAAGTATCTTATTAATTGAGTAGTGAAAATTCCTTGAGTACAGCCAGTTCATAATATTGTTAAAAATTTTGATAGTTGTTATTGCCTAAAAAATTGCAGAAAATGTCACGCTCAAGAAGTGTCACCAGAAAAAGTCGAGGAAAGAGAATACAGCCAATTTATTTAACATATCTGTGGCTTCTCCTAAATGATCTGTGATAGGGACAATGTCATCTGCGAAACCGGGATGGTTAAGCTTTTCACCGTCTATTGTTACTCCTCTGTGGTCCATCCACCATCTTAAAAGCATACTCTAATGCCATTGTGAATAATTTCGGGGACACTATATCTCTTTGCATTATTCCATTTTTTATTTTTATTGGTCGGCTTTTATCGTATATCTTAACAGTCAAAGTAGCATTTTTGTAAATATTGTAAATAAGTTTACTATATCTATGGTCAATCCTGCTGTCATTCATTGCTTCTACAAGGCTGTCTGTTTCGATCGTGTCGAACGCTTTATATGATTCGAAGAAATTGAGGACAAGTGTAGTATTCTATAACTTTTCAATGAGTGTCTTTACTGTATGGAGGTGATGATTGGTACCATAATTTGATCGTAATCACGACTGCTCTCTCGGTTAGTCGAAATCGTAATTTTTTCCCCAATCTTGATGTCACTTACCTAGTAAAGAGCTTATATATGTGGTTCAACAGGCTAATAGGTCTATAATTCTCTAGGTCCGTTCTATCTCCTTTTTTATGTAAAAGGATGGTTATAGCATTGTTCCATTTTTTGGGCACCTCTTTTTGCTGCAAACTTTACTTACTTCAGAAATTTTTTTTTGAATTTGAATAGATACGCAATTTCTTTCTTGCTGATTCATCGACCCAGGATTTAAGTGCAACTGATTGATTTGTCATGTGATGGTGAATTAAAATTAGACTTTAAGCAATGCGACCTTGGTGAATTCTAGACACGAATGAAGTTTGATTTCCCTTCTCTTGCAACACGCGCTTTAAAATACTTGATACCCTTTTTGACAACATCTCTGTGCGAGAATTGATTTTCCGTAATGCTAAATATTAAGAATTTATACAGAAAAAAACTTAATATAGAACTTGATCTTCGATGAACCAGATAAAAATAAGTTATGTAGAAATACTCAAGCACAACCTACTTATTAATTAGTTTGCTATTTTACTATTTTGGAGGTTTACTCACTCTATTGTCTAGGGTTCTAACTATCTATATACACTTAAGTGCAAAATAATCGACTCAAAATTATTTTAAGAGAGTATGTATTGAAAGAGTGTATTGTTGGTACCAAGATACTGGTGGTTATGTCCGCCGACAAGGAGAAGGCCGTAAACGAGTAACAACTGAGAGAGATGATCGATTTTTTGTATCGAAATCCCTCAGAAATTGACATCTGACTGGTGCTAATCTTAAAGAAGAGCTTAGAGAGGTCCGAGGTGTGGTTACCAGCATTTGGTCAGTCAGAAGGAGATTGAAGGCAGCCAACCTGACACCGAAAAGGGCAGCTACGGGTCCCAACCTAACTGCAGCCCAGAAGCCAAGGTGAGTAGAATTTGCTCGCGAACATCTGGATTGGGACGACTATCAATGAAGTCAGGTATTATTCTCCGACGAAAGTAGGATCAAGGCGTCGAGTCTATAGAAGGCCAGGAGAGTGATTTACTTAATGTTGTATAGAAGAAATTGTGTTGTATGGAGGCGGTCCTTGTATATGTTGGGCAGGCATTTCCATGGATGGGAGATCCGAGTTGGTTTTTGTGCCTGGTGGAGGACGCTAAGGTGGTTTTTACGGCGGATTGTTACATTAGAGACATTTTAGAGGAAGATAGTGTTAATGTGCATGCCATAACGCACGAGTCACCACCACCTATCTGACTGAGATCGGTATACTTGCAATAAATTGGCCTGCGTTGAGCTCGGACATAAATCTAATAGAGCATGTTTGGGATAAGTTTAAACAAAGCATCCGGGAAGAGAAATCATACACCAAGGAGCATACTGGAATTAAGAGCTGCACTTTATAATGATGAATGAGAAGCCTCAAGAATTATTATTAGAAAAGTCATCTGATCCATGCGAATTTGATTGGAAAGTGTAATTAGGAGTAGGGGTGGTAATATCAAATACTGAAAAATAATAAAATTTATTTTGTAATTGATGTATTTCTTGTGTTAATTCCAATGATGAATATTAAGGAAACTCTGCTCGTATTGCATATTGTTTTTATATTCCGTCTTCCAAATAATGCAATAGCAGTTATTGTAAGTTCAATTATAAAATTATTGTTTGCACATTACATCTTTCTTCTTACTTACATTAAAACACAAGGTGTAATCTCAAATATCGCTTTGTTTTGCACTTTTCAAAGAATTTTGTGGAACATGATCAATAAGGTTGAGAACCACTGTGCTAGAATATATAGCAAGGGCGTAAAATTGTGAAATTGAAAAAAAAAGAATCTGAAAAAGTTTCTACTTGAAAACCTTTACACTATAATATAGAACGGGATGAATTATGTAAGTATATATGTACAAATTATAATGAAGACAACATTGAATTTCAATCACTCGTTAAGAAATATAAG